TATGAACTACCTTCTCCCACTTGGGAGAAAAAAAACAGAAGGGAAGAAAAAGATTCTCTGGATTCTCCACAAGATCAGTCAAAATGTTTGCTTAATCAAATTATACTTCTTAACCTTCGATAAGCTTTATCATCTCAAAGCAATGTTTAATCAATTTCGTATGTAAATGTTTTTCAGATGAAAGTCCTAGAAGCAAAGTTTAATTTTCCCAGTGAGTCATTAAAAAGAAATTGTTTCTAAGCTTTCAAGCTCATAAATACCTTTCCAGGGGTCTGAACGAGCAAGTCTCTTAAGCCACTACTTTTCTTACATAAGCTTGAAATTGTCAATATAGAGAATAAATTTCAAAGCTGCAAATAAAAATAACTAGTTAATTATCTGTATAGTATATATAGTATAAGCTAAATGTGATACTTTTTCCTGCATGTTTTCAAATACAGACTCAAAAAATACACCGGATACTAAGTAACTTCATCCTGCACAACTTTTCCACCTCTACCAGTAACACAGCTTACCAAGTTACCCAGCGATGTACTGACCTCTAGATCCAAACTGTATGATCTCCACTAAGGCCATCTATTTACCTACCTATCTAGAGAGGAAAAGAGACTTATGCTGATTTTTGCTGTAAATAATTTTCCAAGGAACTGAAATTGTTTGAAGACTTTCCCTCCCTTCCACAATTCCACAAAAAAAGGAGTAACTCGTGTTCTGAACATTTTGAATGTTTCTTTTAGTGGCAAAGTACCATGAATGAAAATCTCGATTGTCAACACTGTCAATACTTTTAGGTGCAAATCTATACCTAATACCATTAAATAGATTAAGAATAGAACAAAGAACTGGATAAGAAAATCATACATAAGGTGTTTAGTACCTAAACTGAAACTAAAATCATCTCGAGCAGAGATTATACATTTTAAAGTACACATAGTAACAACTTAATATAAATGTCATTAGGAAATGAAGTGTTCTAACGTAAGCAATTAAGACAGAATATGGGAATTTACCCCCTTAAAACTAGGCTTGGCCTAAAAATCTTTCCAGAACTTACTGTGGAGTTTTTTCTTAATTAAACAAAGCATCGCAAACAGCTCACTGTGAAATGCAGCACTCACAGTATAGTGCTTCCCTGAATCCATTTTGTGTTCCTATGTTATTGTAGGTTTCCATTTTCTTTTGTGGGGGTGCTTCCAATTGTCCTTTCCTTGTCAATCCTCGGCAAGTTGTTCTGCGATTTAGTGCCCATGTAACGGCCTGTGCGTACAGTCTCGGTCTAAGGGATACTTGAGCCAAGTATGTGTGCTGCTCAAAGACTTTCTCTGTACAATTGCTCATTTTCTGCCCTGTTCCAGGTCGCTAAGACTGATAAATGGTCTAAAAATGCTTCCATACCCTAATTTCCCAACCACTTCCGGGTATTCTTTAGGGTTAAGTACATCTCTCACACATGTGACTAAAACCACTAAGATTTTAAACTGTACTGAGTTCACTAGTTTTCAGAACTTTTTCTTTGGAAACTACTTTTTACTAAACCATAAATACCATTTTCAAAGGAATTTCCAAACTCAAAGTAAAAGCAGTATTTCATAGGCACACCAAGAAACCAGTAGCAGTAATAAGAAAAATTTTCAATTTCTTGCAAATTTTTCTTTGTATATACAGCCTTAATCTTTTTTCCTACTGCATTTTACTTTTGGCCTCAAGCCCGTGTTTAGAATTACTTTAAATCTTCAATAAGAAATTAAAGACAGCAAAGTGTGTGAGCAGAAACAACTATCCTGCTGGTTGCAGATTATTCTACTAGATTATGAATCAGTTTAACAATCACACGTTGATTTTTAAGGGCCAGTGAATCTTTTCCTTAAAGGTGCTCAGGAGCAACTTTTACATGATGGCAATGGGTATAATCCCTTATATACATCAAAAGGCATACACAAATTTCAGTAGAATGTTTGCATTTACATGCTTTTTTTTAAAGTACAATATACCAGTTGACACTGCATAATGATTTCTAACCAGAGGCATGATATGTATATACACACACATTACAAATAACACAAACACCCACACGCCCATATAAGGGGTACCTCTACAGACCTATAAATATGTATCATGTACATATAGACAGGTTTGTAAGTTAAATATAACCATTTCCTAAAATACAGGAAAAGTACATTTCAGGTATTTTGTGTGACCATACAAAGACAGAACTTTGTACTACTTGTATATTCTTTTATGAATAAAGAAATCGAGTGTATGAACTTAGAAAAATGCTATGGGAATTCTGGTTCAAGAAACTGGTATCTTCTACTTTCATCCCGAATTTTTTGAAAAAGATCTTGTTTTGGAAAGACGGTTCCTTTACGTTCAATTTGCAAGTCAAGAAGTACTTACTGTCTAAAAATCCAGAATAAGCAATTAAATAGAATTCAGATGTAGTTTTAATTGCTTAAATCATTTTTAAAACATAAGGTAACTTGACATTTTAAAGCAATTACAATTATATTCCATGGAAATGCTAGGGTGGCTTTTCACATTCTGCCTGCAAGATGGCAATCACTTAAAAAGTAATTTTTGTATCAAATACAAGATCTATCCCATATAGATTTTTAAAAAAAAATCTCCTAATAAATTGTATAGGGTGGGGGCGGGATGGAGGGCACAGTAGGGAACATGTATACAAAACAAACGAAACAGCTATTAAGTAAGAGAAGTTATTTAGGAATACCTGGGCCTTAAAGGGAAAAAGAGGAAAAACAAAAACAAGGATTTTCTGGCTTCAGATACATTCATTAAAAAACAAGCAGGGGAGGATGCAATGAGAGAGCCCAGGTAATTTTAAAAGACATTGTCTAGAAACTAGAAATGAGGAGAAAACAACCTCAATGCTCTATGATTACCCAAGAACGGGTTTAGCCAGATGAACAAGTCAGCTACAAACCCTCCCCAAGGCATTTGAGAGACTATCAAACAAAACTTTATTAAACTGGATTACATGGTCTCATTCATTAGATGTCGATGGCCACACATTTATGATCAGGTGAAAAAGCTGATGCATGGAACACAAACTAGGCCTGGGTCTTCTTTTTAGTTTGATTTTATTAGTACGATCATTGTTAAGACAGCCCGCTATTAAATTTCTTTGCCAGCAGGTCAAGTTCCAGAATCCCAGCTATAAGCATTCAGAGCACTAACCCCTGACAGGGGTTGCAAGGCCATTCAGATATGCTCTGACTACATCCCTGCAATAAGCAGTTGATTACAGTGTGATATGCAATTGCACTTTTTATTAGGAGACTTTAACCTCATGAAAAACATGTTCCCTCCTTCCTATCTCCCATTTCAAGGACTTTCAAAGAAGAAAAAACAATCATTCAAATGTTTCAAATTTATTTCCAGTCCCATTAGTCAAAATTCAGGTAAAAAGCCATTTTCAATGTTTCCCTCCCTCAGAGAATATTTATTCTATAAATGGCTATTTTACTATTTCTATATGGAATGTTTTCATGGCCATCATTTACTTTAGACTGAGTTTATTATATACTTAATGGTTGTTTAACTATAAATATAATTTCTACTTTGAGCTGCTTATGTAGGATCTTGCCTTTCATATAAATCACTTTGTCTATATCTAAAAACTTCAGGCCAAAACAACCCATTCATTTCATTGATAAATACTTGAGCTGTCTTTTCTTTAAAAGCAATTTCTCAGAAAGTCCTGGAATCTACCATTGACGCCAATGCTATTTAGATTTTAATAAGTAGTGTTTATCACTGAGATATCAAGTAATACTTCTTACAAGCATACAAAATGTCTGCAGCCATATTCCTCCTAGTGTTCTATCTCAGCACTGACCTTTGTTCAAAGGCTTTTACTTTTTAATGCAGCAGTTAGAGATAACTACTTCATTTATCAAAACTCAATTTCCATAGTAACATCTAGCCTGGGGAGATTCAAGTCCTCACACTAATCCAACAACCCATTCAAAGGAACCGTTGAATACTTTGGTTTCCATAGCAATGATGGAATAAAACATTTTGCTAGGTCATTGCTTTTATTAGCAAACTTATTCTTTGAACTTTAGGTAAGGCTGAATTTACTGAGAGAAAAAAAACACACAATCATTTCATATAAGTTCTTTCCTTTAGGGCTGGCCTTTTAAGAAAATCACAGATTGTAACCATCTATATATATTTGAAAATATTTTGGGTCTTTTTGGAAGCTTTTTATAATGCATGCCATATAGTTATGTCTTAAAATGGTTTCTAATATACAGTTTTAAAATTAAAAAAAGCATTCAAAAGTGGATGTATAGAGTTGACAAGATAAATATAAAATTAAAGTGACCCCATGTAAAGGCACATTCTAAACAAGGACTAAATATAAACTGGAATAAAGATGAAGTCTTAAATACCTGAAATCTGGGCTGGCACAGGGTATAGAGTAACTTTTAAACCATGACCCCATCTTTGCCTGATTTTAATAGTCTGCAATTTCGGCCCTACCTTTCATCAGCCACAGAAAACATGCTGAACAGAGATTTTAGGTTAAAGGTGAAATTAAAGATGATGTATTAAGCAGTTATGCTTTACATGCTAAATGGAAAAAAGTTTTAGCATTTAATATACCTTACAGAAGCCAACTATTTGTTATGGAAGAAAGAAAATGAGTTACATTTGTTTTTCCTTCAAGATAGGAATTAGCAGTGCCATTAAAGTTTTAAAATACATTAGTAAACATTGTTGTTTACATTTTTGGGTAATTCATTCTACGTGAGGTGACAGGGAAAGGCCTTGGTAAGGGAACATCAGCCTTCCTGGAACCAGACTTTTTCGCTGAACTGAATTTTGAGCCAAGCCAGTGCTGAAAAGGTAGGCCATTAAAAAATAAAGGTTGACAGAAGAAAGAAGAGATCAAACACGTGTTGGCTTTTAAAAGGATGAATACCACTTACACTATTTACACAACTCACAGAATTAACAAGAAAATTACATACCAGTATGAGTCCTCAGGTGAGCTTTTAAATGAGAAGACTTTGTATAAACTTTTGTGCAGCCTGAAATAAAGGAGAGGAAGAACAGCTTGTCATTTTGGAGATCCTTTTGAAATCTTTACATTTGATGATTCAGTGTTTAAAATCTGGCTTTAAAGAAGAAATCTCTCATGCTAGATATTTGAAGCGTCAGTTTTAAAGAGTGCTCCCCTGTTAACTTATTAAAGGTATAAAGTGATTTACTTTATGTACCACTTTAGCAGAAAAAGCAGATAATCAAGCAAGCTACAAATGGGAAATGTGCGTTTATATTACAGTAGGTGCTTTATACTAGTAACATATACTTCAGTGATTTAAAAACTTTTAATGGCTCTAGAGCTGACAGTGTTACACCATTATCCAAGATGACTGCAATTTTCTGTACTACTACATTTGTTTTTTCATTTAGTGTTATCATGCTGTATCATGTACCATAGTCAATAAATTATACCCTGTATTAATCATAAACTAGCTTATGCCAGTAGATAAAGTCATCACCATCATCAATTCAGATTTTGAGCCACATCTCATTTCAAGAATGAGCATATGCTCATATGCTATCAGAACTATCCTTAATTCTATTCTGTACCGAGTCTTGTAATAATCTACCATCATGAGAGCAGCCTACTCAATCCCCACTTCATTACCACACCTTATTCTCCCTACCTTACCCTCTTTTCAGGGCACTTAATTTAGAATTAAAAATCCCAATTTAGACGTTAAACAAAGTAACTCTGGCGCAACTCAAAATTCTAATTTTTATTCAATATTAAAAATAGAGAAGTCCAAAGTAACTTTTCTCCAGAATATTCTAGCCATTTTTTTTTATACATAAAACCAGCAATAGACAAAGTTACATTCCAGGGTACAGTACAGAGACTGAGATATGAAAAGAACAAAGTAAGTGGTTTTTTCATTGTCAAGTATTACTTTCCTATGTAAATTTAAAACCCGAGATTTAAAAAGGCATACACACACACACACACACACACACACACACACGCTTCAACCGGGTTAAAACACGTACCAGGGTAATCGCAGTAGTGGATGCGACGTTTCTCCAAATCGGGGTTACTCCTTCTATTGTATCTGACAGGTTGGATGCTTTGCGAATTAACTGGCAGGGTGGCAGGTAAATTTGGATTGTGAATTGCCAGTTTAGAAGCAATTGTAGCAGCATAGGATGGAGGTGGGGTCAAATTCTGGAGCATCTCTGCTTGTCTATCTGGACTTCCCGGCTCTGAGCTTGGTGGTGACGGGGGAAAGTAAGTGGCCTGCTGTGGCAGAAACTGACTTGGTATTGTGTATGTGCAAGGGGGCATGCCCTGGAACTGTTTCATTGCAGTCTGCGGAACGGCAGAGGTGTGTGTGTTAAGGCCGGCCATGGCAGCTGACATAGAAACATTAAGAGTGTCCATTACTGCTGTCTGGTTTGTAGAACTGGGCATATCTAGATCCGGTGTATTCAGTAGCTGGTACAGGTGGCCCTGCTGGGGAGGGACAGAAAGATGAAGATCTGGTGTAGGAAGTTCTTGTTTGATGAAAATATTGTTCACCTCTGGAGCTGCGGTCTGGTGGGAGCTGAATATACTGGTGAACTCAGGGAGGGCCTGGGTCGGGGCCGGAGGAGGGGCAGTCGTTTCACTCTGGTGGCTGAAAATGGTAACAGGTTCTGTCTTGATGTGTGTTACGCACGGTCTCTGGGATTTGTAGAGGCCAGTTCTCAGGTGAGTGATGTCAGGGAGGAAGACGTTCATGTTGATACTGTAAGGTAACCCTTCACTGTCAGTGAAGAACTGGTCTACGACTGAGGCACTGTCTCGTCTATACTTTTTATGCTCTGGAATTATAGAAACTGGAGGAAGCTGAGGTGTCAGATACTTCTCCATTTCACATCTTGTCTAAAAAAAGAAGAGATACAAACATGCATAATCCACCCATTTCATCATCTGAGTAAGGACAAACTTACTAAAAATTCCCAACAAGACCTGTGAAAAGTACTAAGGCGAACTCCTTCTAAGTGTCGCTTCTAAACATATCAAGTTTGTCAACTGTGTAAGCAATAACTGGTTTACCAAAAGCCTTATGAAACTCTCTATACTGTGTTACTTGGTAAAATCACTCCCACAATCAGCCCCTGACAAAAAGTGAAAGAGGCAAATCAAGAAAAAGCAGCAGCACACAGAAAACATTCCTTTCTAATCAGTAATACATAGTTTCCTTTCTAATCAATAATATACTTTTTTAGAGCTCACATACAAGCAGGATTCTCTCCCCCATTACGGTCGAGTTTGCAACTTAAATACAGTATTGTAATACTGCCAAACCACCTCATTCCTGTTCGTGCCATATTTATATTAATATAGGTATGTTTAAGCAAACAAAACCTAAGCAAACCAACCTTAAAAATATCACAAAGTTCTGTTTTGTTTTGTTTGCTTGGACAGATATTGTTGAAATATTTAATATAAAACATATTCCTTGGCTATTTCAGTGCCTTTTCTCATTTATAGGTCACTGGACACTTAAATACAAAGTCTTGAGCAAAACATAGTATCCACTGAAAGAACAAAACAACTTCACTTTCGACATTTGATCTAAATGTTGATTTTAATCAGCAGATTCTGTAATTGGTTAATATGATAATGAAATGTTCCTATTCATATCCCTATCTAAAACAGATCTTTAATTACCTAGGGGAAAATCACTCCCTTGGTAGAGTGGTGCTAAGGAGTCCGTGGGTGGGGAGAGGCTGCTGTATCCCTAGCACAGTCATCAGCAAAACATTTATCATGTCCTCCTCAGTGGGCCAACGCTACATTCCCCCTTACTCTGTAAAAACCTCAATCATCCCTTATCCTCTTGGTGTCTCTTAAGCAGAAAAGTGACAAACCTGAAATAACCAAATCGTTTTCAAGTGGTGATTTTTTTTTTTTTTTTTTAGATAATCCAGCTTGGAACTAGCCTCCCTCAGTCTTTTTACAGCTATCTTCTATTCTAGTACAACATAAACTTATTTAATTTTTAACACTGAAAAGTAAATTTTAAAAGAAAAACCCACCCCAATCAAATGGCTCATGGAACTATTAACCGTGGCACCGAAACTGGTGAGTAGGAGTCATTTTTTGCTACTGCATTTCAAAAGCGTTTCATATCGGACCTCGTATCATTCGCGGTGGATACAGATAGGGTTTCCCAGATCGACACGATTTAAAAATAAAAATTAACGCTCTCGTCATGTGAGTCACATCTCTGACAAATGCCACTGCCCTTTCACAGCACGACGAAACTCGCAGACCACCCGGACTAGGAGCTGAGCAGCAAATACGCAGTATACCAAGGGGCTATTAAATGAAGCGTCTCGAAATAAACCGAACTTAAATCCTTTCGTGCACTTCGCTCCCGTGGTGGTTAGTGGTTTCTGATTTTAGCTCTTCCAGCTGTTTGCATGTGGGTATGTTTCCAATTTTTTTTTTTCCTTGGGACAGGCTAAAAGTCCCGGGAAGTTTTTTCTGGGCTATATGACTCCCTGCGTGGGCGAAAGAAACAGGCGGTTGCTCTAATTCGGCTGCCGGGCAAGTGTAAAAACCAACTGCCAGCTTTCAACGCGGCTCCGGGAGGAAATTTACGCGCACATGAAGAAAACACCACCCCCGGTCTTTTTTGGTCTTTCTTTTTAAGGAAAAACAAACGCTCCAATACAACCTTAGCTTTCCTAACTCTCGTTTCCCAAAGGCAGCTCCAAGATCACGTCTAAAGCAGGCTCAGCCAAAGAGATATGAAACTAGCACCCCGAGGCGCCTCTCGCCGGCACCCCGATTTGCGTTTCCACCGAACCCGAGACGACGTGGGGGAACCTCCAAGGGCAGAGCACGGCGGGGGGTGGGGGTGGGGGGTAAGGTGAAAGGCGGAATTTAAGGTTGGACGTGAAGTACGAGGTCTCATCCCCCAAACTAAGAAAACACTTAAGGTGCGTTGTGAGCAGCCACTTGCCTCTAACCTTTCCCGGACGGACACGTCTGGGGAGATTCATCTGGGACCCCCCTCTTCCGGTCCTCCCTTCTCCCTCCCTGCGGATTGCGGGTGCCCAGGCCAGAAGGGCAGGGCGGGGAGGGGCTGCCCACCCAGCTCCGGCTCCCGGAGCGCCCCGACGCACGCCCCAGCCTGGAGCGGCCCCTGTCGCCCGCGCGTCGCAGCGGCGGGACACGCCCGAGCTCCGGGAGGGGGGCGGAGGGAGAGGAGCGGC